CTGCCCCATCCCTGGAAGTGTTCAAGGCCAGGTTGGATGAGGCTTTGAGCAACCTGGTGTAGTGGAAGGTGTCCCTGCCCCATGGCAGGGGGGTTGGAACTGGATGATCTTTGAGGTCCCTTCCAACCCAAACCATTCCATGATTCTGTGACTCTATGAAGAGGCCACTTCATGCAAAAAATACCAATTAATGTAAGTCTCTAAAACATCATGCAGCCAGAAGAAACCATGTGTGGGAGTGCCACAAAGCTCTGTGCTTTCCTCATGCTCTGTCCCAGCAGAGCCTGAGCCCATGGTGCTTCCTCCTGCTCACCTGCACCTTCCAGGAGGACCTGGGTCCACCCCTGCTGCTTGCAAAGTCCAGCTTGTGGGTCCTCCTTGCAGCTTCCCCACCTCCGCAGCCCCTCTTCGAGCCTCTCCTCGGACTGTTGCCTCCACCTGTGGGTCAGCCACCAGAAAACCCACCCACGGGAGGAGCAGCTGCTGGGTGGAGGCACCCATGGGTGTCAAGGGGGAAGCCCTGCAGGGCACAGGGCTGTGTGTGCCCGGGGCAGAGATGGGGAGGTGGGCTGGGAGCCCCGGGCAGCGCGGGGAGCGAGAGGCGAGCAGCAGGCAGGGTAGGCACTCCGTGCGGCTGGAGTGATTGCTGGGAGTCCTCTAAGTGGCAGATAATGGTGGCATAATTTCTTCTAAATTATTTCTAATCATAGCCGACTACTGGTTCATGGACGAAGCGGTTGTTAATTGTCACTTACAAATCAATACCGTGGGAGTTATTGCTCGGCGCTCGCGGTGCATTTTCCGGGCCTCTAATTGAAGCGCGGAGCACGGCCGGGGCCGTTGGCCTGCGCAGCAGATTTGTGAGTGCCGGGGTTTTGCTGGTCGCGGGCAAGCGGTGATTTCTCTCCTGAAACGGGAGTGAAAACTTGACACGAGTCTGAAGTTCACCCTTCCTCAGCCACCGCGCAGGTCTGGGAGGTGGAGGGGACGGGTGGTGGGGCTGTGAGTGAGGAGGGGGACGTGGCTCAGCCCAGGGACAAGCACCAGCTCTTGGAAATCTTTCCCTGAACAGTGTTCCCTGCAGAGGGTGAGGATGGACGGGCGCGTTGGGAGCGGTTGTTTCTTACCCTGGTGCTTCCTGGGCACGTTCCCTTGCGCAGGCGGGTTGTGGTGGGTGCTGGGTACCGTGGGGGTCCGGGTGTCCCTGAGCCCGAGAGCGTGCCAC